GAAAACACGGTGATGGCAAATATGCCGAAGACCAACATTCACCTTGGGCAAAGCAAAGAAATAAAAAATATTATGTGCAATTTTGTATGGTAATATATAATAAATCACATTTATTTTCCGATAAAAATATTACGAAGTTCTTGCATAATCGATTCTCAAATCGTTGAGAAAGGGTGATAGGAAAAGGTCTTCGAGAGTCAGGTATAAACACCAATATCTGACCATTTAACATTTGAAACCGATGTAGTTTTTTTGTTTGTGGGCGTTAGACCGGGTTCGGTCGATAGAGGGGGTGAGCAGAGATGGGACGCCTACGTACATCTACCTCCCCGCATCCCACACCTCTCGCAGCTTCCCCTGACCTACATAGAGGGGGGTAGCTACGCTTGCGTACATCGCTTCCATAAAGATCTCGATAATAGAATACATTTTGATTTGAAAATACTTAATTCCAAATAGGAGCGTTCCTGGTATCCGCCATTACGTGTAGCAGGCAGGTATGACTTTAATATATCTAGCTATCTTTTGTCCGCGATTTTGTCAGTGTGGAGTTTAAAAAAACGATTCCATCGAAATTTGTTATGCTGCTATGGAGATACAAATTGACAAACATTCCATCTGTATTTCGCAATTATAATATTAGTGTGAAGTGAATATAAATAAATTTACATGGATGGCTAATAGGACTATGTTATTTTATATTCATGATTATTTTCAATACAAGATAATTTTTAAACGATAATCATAGAAAATATACCTGCTGTTGCCCACGACTTTGTCCGCGTGGCGTTTAAAAGTTCCAAACTTACGTTTGCCTCTTTTTACACGATAAATTTGAAGGAAGTCTGAAACACCTACTCCTTTTATAGAACGTATTATTAGTAGTTCTGCGTATTAACAGAAATCTACCGATGGAAGATTTCAAAATTATTTTATTAAAGTATAGAAAACATGGATTTCACAAGCTACGTAAACTTTGATAAACTTATAGGAACTTAATGAATTAAAGCAATTACTTAAAAAAAAAAAAATTGGATAACGGGTACAAATTTAGCCTGGCACTGAGGCAATCCCCTTAGTAAAGCAATGTAAACGAAATTTTTCGTGCAATATTAAACTCTATTGTAAATCAAGAAAGTTTAATTTAGAATTGAGGCAGTACTTAAACTTCATTGGCTTCGATTGGATTTTAATCGTTCATTCCGTCGTCGTGCGAGAAATATCACAGCGTTTCGAAATATTATTATGTATATCCACTGCTCGGTTTACTTGTCACATGTATACAGGTATCATAAAGTAACAGGCAATGTATGATTAAATAAGTAAAATGATAAATTAAGAAGTTCGCTAACAATTTAAAGGTGCTAATAAATAATATCAGAAGTTTCAATTTGATGTTTGTTTTAAGTAGTATTTATTTATATTAATATTATAAAGAGGAAAGATTTGTATTTTTGTATGTATTCGATTCACGTAAAAACTACTGAACTGATATCAAAAATGTTTTTGCCATTAAAAAACTACGTTATCAGTGAGTAACATAGACTATATTTTTCATCCTTTTTAATTGCACCTGGGCGAAGTCGCGTGTAATAACTAGTATGAAATGTATTTATCAAAAAAGGTATTGTTACACTTATACTCGATATAATCTTACCAATATTATAAATGCGAAAGTTTAGATGGATGGATGTTAGTTAGAAGATGTCTTCATAACCATTAAACTGATCTTGATGAAATTTGGTACAGTACAGATGTAGACAGCCTAGAAGAAAACAGGCTACTTACTATTTTTTTTTAACACCACACTGACGGAGTATTGAATAAAAGCCAATATTTTATATGTTAAATTATCCATCGTTCTGGTTTACCGGATAATGCTAACGTAGTGTGGGTATGTCATTTTTACGCCGACGAAAGTAAAAGGTCTTAAAACACGGATATGCGGGCCCTCAAAAGTACTCGAATTACTGACTGGTAGTCTTCCCTTCATCATTTGCGACTTGTTGAACCAAATGAAAATGATTGCGTTATAAGCCGCAATACTAGTCAATAACGTTAAGAAATAAAATACATATGAGGTCTCTCCAAAAAAAAAATGAATGGTGAGCCTCCCTCAACCGACCTGTTCCGATGTTATGTACTTTGGTTCTCAAGTCCAGTACGACGGTAACGTTGACCAAGACGTAAAAAGCCGAATAAATGCAGGTTAGATGAAATGGCGCCAGGTTACCGGTGTGACTTGTAAAATAAGAATGCCTCTTAAGCTTAAGCGGCTACGCTAGATTATGACGACGAACTGATTAATATTTTAGCCCAAAATCCCAAGGTCAACTTTTTTACGTAACATTGACGTTTTTTGCGTCATGCAATATTGCAATGACGCATATTAACACGCGCATCGGTGGACTTATCACAAATATCCATGAGAACGTTTTCGTAACGTCATCGACAAAATTTGTATAAGATTTATGTAGCGCCCCTACCGGGCGTAGAGTACACTAACAATCTCACAAATGTCGATGACGATACAAATACATTCACAACTCATGCAAATATTCGTGATAGATCCTCTAAGCGTATGTTCGTGAGTAAACGTAGTATGTACAAATTTTTGGAAAAACTGTGAATTCGGAACCGTCCCCAAATGTAGATAATTGAAAAAATTGATTTAATCGAAATAATGTAAATAAAAATAAAGCGTTTTAATGTATTGCACATGATGGTTGCTATCTACGTTTTAAATCTATCTGTAAACCGAAGAGGTAAGACGTCTAGAAAAGTAAAAAAAAGTATCTTTAAAAACGAACATATACCAACCGGAACACAAATCAAAGGATATGCTCTCGTTCATATTTTTTTGTTTGGTTACATAATGCTACCGTCTGACCTAGGGTTGTCAACTTTAATAAATAGAACCGGACACTGGCTGCGAAGAAATAGCAACCACGATTTTGGCGAAAGACACCACTAACTTTGGACCATGCAAACCCGAAGAAGTGGCAACCCTAATCCTAACTGATTATCTTAATGTACTGACTACAACAAAAATGAAAAACACATGTGTCCTTGGAGTCATGAATAGATTCATTTAAATACACTTCAAGTTTTTATAAATCCAATAGTGTGTTGTTGTAAGCCGTAAAATGCGAAAACATTGCCGTTAATGTATTGTTAGATGGTGAATTAAAATCAAAATTATTGTTCAACTGACAGAATTACGAACGAGGTCTTCCTGCTATACGCCCAAATAAGATATTAAGTACAATATATTAACTTAAGAGGTGTGAATATTTACGATAAAATCGTTTGAATTTGTACCTAAAAAGATCTGCATAAAGTTTAGTTTTGAATTTATCGTTTAGATATGAATAAGGAACAATACAAGTTATAAAAAGAAATCAAAGGATTATTTGTTTTAGCTATGAATTGTGAACGCGATGACGTGAGAGGCATGTTACAGCGCAAGGTGATGTGGCCAATTATACTATAGGTGTTACACGAACAACAACTACTCGCATTGGTTTATAGCGAATAAATTACAGCACATCTGCCTACGCGAACCTCCGTTGTTTACATTGCTATTCCGACCAACTTGTATAATGCAATTATATATGTGAATTGAAATCGACATCTATGAGCATATACTATGGTTTCCGGATCACATGAATGCAATCAAGCGACACAATATTTTGAATCCATGACTAATAACACAATAAATGTATAAATACCTTACAAATGGCTCGTCCCACCGGTTTGCTTTCACTCCCGGCCCGTATTGCGCATTTATCCCTATAGGAAAGGTGTTTCCAGAAAGAGGGCGCGCAAGAGACCAGCCGAGGCGGCGGCGCGCGGCAGAGTCGCGCGGCCTCGACCTTGGCCGTCAAACCAGCGCATGCGTCCCGCACCGCGCCCCGCGCCCCGCGCCTCTCCCGCCTCGGCCCCGCCGCCTCGCCAATTATGTCATTATGTTTGCTGCTGTTGTATTGCCAAACAGAGACGCGCTCCGCTGGACATAGATCCAGATATCAACTATGTTTGCATCTCATTTCTATAAAATCTTATTAGACAAATGTTACCACATTAGCTTCGTAACATTTGCACGTTACTATCTAACGTATGTATGTATCTAGAACCATCACATACCGACTGAATGTAATTTTGCAACAAAGTACTTGAATTAAAATTGTTGCCCTTTATTTGGTCACCTTTGTCATTATTTTCAAGAAAGTAGATCAAAAGACAACGTTTTTTTGAATAAACGCCTGATGATTATAAAACATTTTGAAAATATTAAAAACCAATAAAACCAGTAGCAGTTAGCACGGAAATAGGTATTTGTACTACCTACTACAATTATCAATATGTACTGATTGTTTCCTATTGAATTAATTTGTACAGAGATAAATAAAGCAAATGCGATATCTCTATCAAGTAGAAGAGGCAGTAATACTGCAAAATGGTACTTGACACATGAAAATACGACAACAAAATTAAATCCAATAAGAATTTTCAATCACAGGTAGATAAAATAAATTGAACTCAATATGCATTTTTTAATAAATATTCTTGTAAACATTTTGAAATATACATTTTTCCAAACTCCTTAATTGTTTCATTTAATTAATTTTTACAATAAAATTGTATGATTATTTATAGTGACATCTACTGACGAGTTTATAAAATTAGATGATCATGGAACGAACAAGGAGAACTATTCGCCACAAGATGGCGTTGTTTGCAAACCCAAGTAAAACCTGGTAAAAGCTTCATGCAAAGCTTTTAGTTTTATAAAACGAAAACTTTGGAAATGGGAGTGATGTAAATTTTATATTTGATAACTCATAAAATAAAACATAAATGTTTTTAGCATAACAAGCAAACAACAACCAGTACAAAAATAAACCTAAAAAACTGTACAGGTAATTACCGTACGATAATTTTAAAATACTGTCTTTAATTTTTAAACGAACGGATTTTACTAAAAAAGTTTCGCACTATTATTGAAGATTATTTTGCACTCATTACAGGGTTTCTATATTTTTAGTCAGATTTTTCTTAATACAAATAGATTACATTTTGGAAATAACGTTGGTTGGAGACGGGAGCCTCTGTCGATGTTCTTGTACAAATCCTCGATTTACAGTTCCTTTGTCTGATTCTACGTCACGAGAGCTTCGGTTTTCATGTGTTTTCTTGGCACTGAAAAGAAAATAGTTTTTCTATTGACAAATAGATGGCGCAATTCTAAATGTGAAATTGAACTATTGCCATTTAATTATTACACCAATTTAATGTATTTATTTTATTATATTTTAACACCTTTCTCATATCTCATTGGTATAAAGTTTAATGTACTTCAGATTAATTAAACTAAAAATAAATCTAAAACTTATGTAGAAAAAAGTTGTAAATCTGGTTTAGTCGCCATCTGTCGTCCATTACCGTCAACACTATAACCGCTGAAAAGGCAACAAAAACGTGACTTCAGTAGCTTACATGTGTTTAGTACACTTCAGGTGTTTTGAATTTAATCCTCATTTGGAATCGCATGTTAAATGCAAAGTCTAAACGAGTCAATAAAATAAGTAATTAATTAGTAAGTAAGTAAGTAAAATTTACTTACTTCATCATGAAACACAAATTAAGTAAGTTGTTAATGGGTAGTTCAAATACGAGTAGAATGTACAACGCTCCGATGGTTCCTATTACGACGACGCCTAACGTCTCTGTAAACTGGAAAAAAATGTTATTATCATTTTTGTTCTATAAAAAAGCGAGTTCATGTCTTGCATATTACAAATTCAACTTATAATCTTAAATGCAGCATTTTAATCGACAATTGTGCGTAAATTGCTAGTTGATTTAAGAGCTGTTGTGCGATTGTCGATTGTTTCGCAGGCCATTCAACTTTTTAGTAGCTGAAATAAGCTCATAAGAATCAAAATGTGACTAAACGGTTGTGCGATTGTATAGTCAAAGGTGTGCGTGTGCTCTAAATTTCGAATTAATTTATTTAAAAATGTTTTCACGTTAACATGCGTTACTTGTCAACTTATTTTATGCTAGAATAAAATTTACGACAATTCAAACGATGGTTTTGTCATAACCAATCTATTATCACATCAGGTGACCTAGTACTTTGCGAGATAGTACCTATTACGTTATTCATATTACTTTTGTGCAGCGCCCCTATCGGATGTAAACTACAACATATTTTGTTGATAACGCTGTAAATAGTATTTCCAAATGTTTGGACTAGGCGTAGATACTTAGTACATACGTATATGAAAATGTCGGCGCGCTGAGAGACTCTGGTGCTGTAAACGTTGCGGCTTATGATAATGGCGTGCGTCAAGTACAGGCCGTAGCTGAGTCGACTTAGCGGCGCCCACGGGTACCAGCTAAGGAAGCCTTTAATCAGAGCTGAAACATAGATAATACGTTAGTAGTAAACACTTTTTCTCCTTCTCTACAAAACTCTTCCCTCATTCAAACTGGAGGTTTTGGTACCCCCTGGGTCTATCTTTAGATCCCACTACCATTCTACATTGGGAGCGTGTTAGGCATCCGGCATACACTTTCTTAGGACGAAACGCGCAATTGCTTCTACTTCACGCCTGTTTTTATGTGGTTGTGATATTACACTTTGCGAGCGGGTCATTCGTGCTATGTCAGATGCTGGATGCGAACTCTATCATCGCGAAACTTTCGCATTTATAATATTAGTAAGTTAAGAAAGTCATATATTCTTTGCCAGTGGCTAAAAGTAATTTAGGAATCCCTTATTGTAGATGTCTGTTAACTCTTAGGTACACACTTGCTGACTATTAAATAATTGAGATTGTAAGTATTACTACTTACGTACGTGTCCCATAGAGCAACACAAGACCAGTAGTGCAATAGAACTGGCGAACAGAGGGCGCTCGAGTGTAGCGTACACAGTGCCGGCTACCAGCTCGTAGCTGCGCCACACGAACGTCGCCCCGTATAACATTACGCCGAATGTCATCACTAAAGATATGCAAGTGCCCAATACGGAGTATTTCTGAAAATAACATGATCAATATAAAAGCAATATGAAAGGTGACTATGATACGACCACAGGCTTTTCCAGATGGTCAAAACACCTCTAAGAAATTGTAGTCTACACTAATGTTATAAAGAGGAAAACTTTGTTTTTTTCATTGTAATGTAATAACTCAAAAACTACCGGGCCGATTTCAAAAATTCTTTCATCATTAAAAAGCTACGTTGTCAGTGAGTATTATGTTACTGTTATGTAATATGTTAGCCTATGGGCTATGGTTTATATTATTTTTTAATTTGACGCGGACGGAGTCGCGGGCGAAACCTCGTATTTAATAAATATCTTGTCTGGTGTTAACTTCGCTTGAGTCGCTGCACAAAACACAACATAATGTGTAGTTTGGCGTGGCGGAAAGCGAGAGGGAAGGTGCTGCGCAACACGCCAATAATCTTGGGCCACCAAGATATTTGAAAATAACCATACCTCAATAGTTTAAGATTCCTTTACACAAATTCACTAACGCCGTGGACTTAGTCGAAAAAGGGTTTAAACTTTTACTTACGCGGGATATTCTTTTAATATTGCCGGTGGCTTTGCAGTGAGAGAAGTATAGTCCGCTGAAGAAGCCGACGAGATAGGCAGCGTAACGCGTGTGGCTCTTTATGTACGTCAATTGGAACTGTCGCTGAATTCTTGGATTTGATAAGAAACTGTAAAAGATGATGATGACAATTTACAATTTAGTTTATCGTTGAAGAGCAATGGAGTAATGCTTCTTGACTTGTTCAATAACTACTGAGGCTTATCACGAATAATTGTGAGAATATCTTGGTAACATCATCGACAAAATTTGTATTAGATCTGTATAGCGACTTTAGCGTGCCAAGAGTACACCAACAAATCTCATACAAATTTTTAAAAACATACTCACAACTGTTACGAAACTATTAATGATAGACCCTCTGTATTGTTTTCTAGGATTTATGATAGTCTTATACGAGTATATTGATGAACGCTGCAAGACGTAAAAAAAAACTCATTATCACGTTCCGTTTTAGCCGAGCGTGTAAGCGAGAACGCGGAACAAACGACAGAGAGGCACGATCGCCCTAAGAATTCTGCTTGTTACGTTATAAGGTAAAATTATCTACACGGACTTATAATATAGAAAATGTATACATTTTGTTTTCATCGTTAAAAATCATTTAATTTGATACAAATAAAAATTCCATTCACAAAATTGTCTTTATAAGGTAACAAATAAATATTGTTTATGACCTGCGTGGAGTTAGTATTTGCATGTTATCTGCAAATTATTGTGAAGATAGTCATCTCTGTTCGTGTTAATGATATTTCCTTTTTTAATTATATCAATTAAGTGATTACTAATCATGTTTACGTAGTTAAGTTGTAACAATTGTGCGAAGGAAATATTGCGCTAGAGATGTAACGCAATTGATGTTAATTATTGATTCTCTACAACGATATCAGTTATTAATATTGACTTCAATAGATGACTTTACTAACAAATCCTGCTTATAAGATTATACCAAATATAACACAAAAAAAAAAAATTACAATTAACTTAACGTCCTTATGAAACATGTTACTATTTAATCTAAATTTACTTACAAATTATTGCAAATATATTTACAACCGTTCTCAGCGCCATCTATAATTAATTATTGCTTAACCGAATACTTTGAGACCCATCAGACGTCCTTCTCCAGGGGGATATTCATCTCCCCTGCCTTATCCTACTCCCGTAGGGTCGGCGCACCGGGTTTTCGTCCTCCAAATAACTCTATCATCCGTCATCTCAGTCATCACTCCCTTCTTGATCATGTCACCTCTACCTATACCGGGGTCTCCACATTCATAACTAAACGTCCTTCTTGTTACATGCGTTTCATTCCTCCTTATACCAATACCACGCTAACCTTTTACTCCTTAATTTCTTCATTAATATTAACAAGAGATATACGATTGCACACGTGTTTAAGCAGTGATTAATTAAAAAGGTTACAAATAAACAATACTAAGTATTACTTACTCATACGTGAATAGTTGTACAGGTGGTAGATTGTTGTAATAGTTGACTAAAGCAGGTGCTATCAAAGCACCGATAGACACTACAATGGCAGAAACGACTCCTGTCTTCGGATGTGTCTTGTACAACCAGTACAGTAACAACGTGACCACGAAGAAGTGGAAGTCGCAAGGGATGTACCAAGATACAACAATACACTAAAACAAATTAAGTTGAAAATGTTAATTGTATTGTTGTTGATGTTATTTTTATGACTGGCAAGTGTTAAGGATTCTAGAAACTTGACTTTTTATAAAAGAAAAATATTAATTAAAATCTGTTAATCAGAAGCGAAATTCTAATGTTTTAAACACACAAGTTTATTTTCATACTTTCATCTATTTTGTAGTTTGGTTTCCCAAACATTAAACTTACTCTATTTCGATAGTGGACAATTTATGTTTAGATTATGTAAATTAACGTTATTGTATAGAATTAGTTTTTGATGTTTTATATAATTTTATGAATTAAAAAGAAAAAGATTAACCGGGTTGAAAAAAACAATTGCTCACATAAGTCAAAGTCGATTATTGATACGTTCATTTCTGTTTAGGTTAATATATGATCAAAAAAAATAAGTTTATACTTTTTCATAATTAAGAAAATCATTAGGTACACATGCAATATAAGAGGTATTTAAATAATAAAAACGAATTAATTACATTTCTTTACTATTTACCTTGAGATATCAATGGCGAGTATAAATCATACATTTATAATTTAATGTAAGCCTCATTATCTTCAGAAAAAGTAACATGCAAATGTATTTTGTGCTGATAATTATACGCTAAAATTTTCCACGACTACGTCAGAGCGGAATTAAAAAATCAAGCATAATATATTCCCGACCTTCCTATACCGTCTAGTCAAATTGAACAAGCTGTTTCGAAATAACCCGAAACAAACGTCGCCTTGCGGATAAGCAGACATGTTTTTCTTTCATAAATTATGTCAATAGACTTAATAATAATTAAGAAATTGAAACCAAAAATTTCAGTCCGAAAAACATCCATTGGTTACTTCTAACTTGTAACATAGTTTACATCATGAAAGAGTAGCTTTCGCTCGCGACAGCATCCGCGTGGAATTAAAAACAAACAAAAACGAGTAGCCTATATGTTCTTCCAGACTATCCTCTACATATATACAAAATTTCATCGAGCCGTTTAGGCTACAAACTGTAACAATTATCCTTCCATCTATCTAAACTTTCACATTTATAATATTAGTATTAAGTATTATATGATTTGTTGCTTACAATGTTCTCGGAGTCGATGTAATTGTTGAGCATGAGTAGACTGAGCCACCAGTTCTTGCGGCACTGGTCTGTGTCCAACGCTACGGCTCTGCTCCACAAAGGTCCTGACCCCGTGAACGGGTACACCGAGCAGACGTAGAAAATTAAATACGCGTAAGCAACTGCTAATCTGTGAACAAAATTGAATAACTGTATTTGTACAAATTGATGTATCGAAATACATTTTTTATTTCATTCCCACACCGAAAATTAAACAGAGGCTATCCCGATCGTGAGAACGATTGCATAACGTCATAAAATTTGTATTAAGTACGCCTTTGGTGGGTGTAAAGTACACCAACAAATCTTATAAAAATTTTGTCAATGCCGTTATGATTATGTTCTCGCAGTTGTCACGCTTTTTGTTGTAAACCCTCAGAAAGTCATATTCCATACATTAACGTTTACTACGTTATTTTACTCGTATAATTTTTGTTACTTTGTGATATAGCTAAAAGGCTTGGACAGATGTATGAAAACGTAGTAACTATAACTACTTTACATACCTTACATATCTCTTGAGAATGATAAAAAATAAGTTGGGCAGCTTCTTGTAAGCCGATATTGCAGTTGCCGAGAGGAAACCCGATAAAAGAAAAAATGTATCCACGAACAAATCGTTGTGCAGTATTAAAAGACCACTTAATGAAATCGCAACCTGTAAAAAAGCTTACATGAGGGTACTCATAGTATGTAATGGTCGCAAAAAGTTTTCACAAATATAGAATCATTGAAGGATGTTCACTGAATCACTGTTATAAACATCTCGATTGTGGTAAATTTAGCAATAATATTTTTATAAAACATGTTTTTTTATAACGTATCACCATAAAAAGCAGACGTTACAAAATTTGAGGTAATATCCAAAAAAAAACCCGCTAGCTTAAAAAAAATCTCGTGTAAAAACAACCATGAAACTCATATCCTTATGTGATTTGACGCGCCAAATGCTACGACGACGCATAAATAGATATGCAATGTGCCTGTTTACTTCGTTATTTTATAAAATAACATTCTATTATTAATTTACATACGTTCTTGTTTACGCCAATAAAAAATTAAAAATGGGATTTTAGGAAGTGGACTGTAAATCCATAGGTCACTGATTCATATGCGACTCGAAGGACCAAGATGTACGGTGTATCCGTACATACGAAATAAAACACCGTAGTTAAAGCTTTGCATAATTTGGGGTACCTTAGCAAACTCGCTGATAGAAGTGTTTGTTACCTTGTCCACTTGAGCTCCGTTACTAATGGGTCCAGCGTTGGCGATGCCGAATTGATGATCCATGACTATAAGGCATATGCTCAGAAATCGTATACCGTAGAATACGTCCAACCCACTCTTATTGACTTTTAACATATCGGCATAATTGCTTCTTAAGCACAACGCCTTAAGAACGTGACTTCCTGAAAATAATCGTTAAACTTTACTATTCTGGTAGATTTTTATAACATTCACAAACAATTTAAATAGGTTAAATAAATTTGGAAATACAGGGAACTTAAGATATAAAAGGAATATAATATAACATACTTAACGAATTGGTTTCCGAGTCTTTTATCCGACGCCGAAGGTATGTACATAGCATTATAAATGCAGTAAATGACGTAGAGAACGCGCTAAAAAAAAGACAATTTAATTTACCATTACACAGATTACTAAATGTGATTCTAATCTATGATTGTTACGAATTACAAAAATGCTTAGCTGTCGTTCAACAATCAAAGTAAATATGCATAACAAACTTTCGTCTGCGACTCCGCGAATAATAAAAACAAAAGTATGTAGCCTCCATAGGTATTAGGAACCCATGTTCTTCCAGACTATCCCCTACATTCACTAAGATCCATTCAGTAACTTAGGCTACAAATTTTAACAAAAATACATCCATCCATCTAAACTTTCGCATTTATAAGTAAGATTATGAGCAAATATAGTTAATTCTATTAAACTTACATGAAAGAGTAGAATAGAGCATCATATTGCCTTGGCTTGTCACTGCTTTGACAAGGATCAGGAACAGTTATCCTGGCTCGCAGGCCAGCCGCGCCGAGATGACTGTGCGCCAGTAGTGTACCAAACAGACGCCTCACAGATTGTCGCTGACAAGAGCTTGGCACGCACAAGCCCCAGGTTAAGTCGTTTAATGACCTCATGAACAACGATCGGTGCTAGTTCAAAAATACATTTGTCAATATATTATGAACTTTGGTTTTGCTTTGGTTATGAAGTCAAAGTAAGGAAGAGACAGTGTCATGTAAAGCTGACTATACATTAAATTTGTTTTTCTGTTGTAATACTAGCTGATAAATGATTTATGACCGGTTTCCCAGCTACATTTAAACATTCGTTAGTGTTTTTGGTTCGATAACTTCATAAAATGCGTTTCAGAACTACATACATAATTTGAGTTTAAATCTGTTGAAACTTAGATCAACCTAAGACTAATGGGATAAATGGGAATGCTAAAATAAGTAGAAACTTCAGAAACCCAGTATTAGTTAGTCTATTTTATGAAATCATACCTCAATAATATCCAACGCAGATTGATAAGGATCATCGAGATTTTTGTCCCGTTTCCTTGGAGCTTTATCAGATCTTTCTAGAACGATATCGGCGAGGCAGTATTGGGTGCTCAAATCTGGATAGTTGTTACGCCAGGGCGCGTCCATGCATTGATCGAAGTTGCCGAGATGGAAGCGATTGCCGTAAAGAAGACCTTGAGGTTCCGATGATATTGAATCCCATTCTATGAACAGGAAACGAATATTTAATTCTTTACTACAGAAAAGATAACACACTAATATTATAAATGTGAAAGTTTAGATGGATGGGTGGATGTTTGTTAGAGTTTGTAGCCTAAACTGCTAAACGGATCTGAATGAAGTTTGGTATAGATGTAAGGGATAGTATGGAACAACACATAGGGTACTTGGTTTTGTTTCTATTAATACAACGCGGACAGTGTCGCGGGCGAAAGCTAGTATTTAATATCTTCAACTTACGCCATACAGCCCATAGCGTGAAATTTTGTAAATTTTGCAAAAGTTGCAAAGTCTGATTCAAGCAAGGAACTTCCTCCGATGTCCAGTTTTGATTCTTTAATGCGAATAGCACATCGTCCAGATACACTCCGCGTTCCTCTTCCGTAAAAGTCTTCAATGATTCATATTTCTTCTCGTTTATTTTATAATGTGAACTCGAAACGTCGGGTGATTTAGTTGAATTTATGCTTTTAGTAACATAACTGTTAACACTCACAATTGAGAAGGCAATAAATATAAAGATTTTCATGATGTATGTTTCCTGTATTCAAGTAAATTGTAAACTGAGTAAAAGACAGTCATGTCTGACATTTTAACTGAATAAAAATTGCATAATCAAGTCAGGCGATCTGCAGAGGCATCGATGATTATCTATTGTTTTTCTTTTTTACTTCTGAAGTACGGTGGAGTTAAATTAACATATTCATTCACACCACGAGGGCTTCAACTTTACAGAATACTAAGTATTTCGAGTAGCCCATTTCTTTTTTAAATGTACAATAATAAAAATGTCCGTGTAGTTATAAAAAATAAAGGTTTAATTCTACGTTTTTTGACAAATACCTTGTAATTCCTAATATTCTTGTTCACCTTGACTTTTTTTGTCAATTTGAAGCTTTTGCATGCATTTGCATTTACATTCTGCATTATATTAATGTTAGTTTTTGTGCTCTTATCTTTTATTTAACTTTTGACAAATTTGTCGTCGCCTTGGATGACCCCATATCCATATTTTTCAAATAAGCTCGAACTAAAAGTAAAATAACGCCATCTATATTTAGATATTATAACATACATAGAGCCTCGAACTTCACAGCGTACATAGTTTCATTAATTTCATTAATATAATGTAGATGGCGCTGAAACCCTATTTGTGAATAGTTTATACGATAAAAAGTATTTTATCAACTTTTGAAAATGCAACACTAACATTTTTTTTTTTACACTTTTCAATCCATCAAATCAATGTCTATTAGAGTGTGTGTAGACTCAATTGCTGAAAAGAATAAACACATAAGAGGATGAACTATGGTAAAAGCGAATTTCTCAAAAACCTCTAAATTAACGAACACATGAAGGCATTGTACCATATTTACGGAATTTATTTTATTTTATTATAATCTAACTCTAATCATACTAATGTTATAAATGGGAAAGTTTAGATGGATGTATGTTTGGTAGAGTTTGCAGCCTAAACGGATGAATGGATTTTAATGAAATTTGGCATAGATATAGGGGGATAGTCTTGAAGAACACATAGGCTAATTGCGTTTGTATTTTTATTACCGTCCGCACGGAGTCGCGGGCGTAAATTAGTAGAGAATATAAGGATAGGTAGATGAAAAGGGTTCAAATGAAGAAATCATTGTTTTGTAATATTTTTATTAATAAATAATGTCTACTACTAATAAATATCTACATATATAACTATACATTCCACTATTAAATATCTTTTAAATCGTGAACATTTAATAACTAAAATACATAAAGTGCAATTATTTAATTATATATTACTAAGTAACACACACTCTATTTACTACATCATAACAATCTAAATACTTCATCATTACATTTCTAGTCACATTGAGAATAATGTTAGCTGACTATGATAAGCAGATTATACAAGTGTAGTTACACTTTTTGACTACATTACAAGGCTATTTCAACTCAGATTATATAGGTGTATATTTCAATATTTATTTAATTAACAACAGTGTTAGATATAAAGAACTATTTAAAAGAACTTAGACCATGTTTACATCAAACAGCATGTACATTGCTAAGAGTTAAACTGACGCTACATTACAAATAAGGAGCAAGTCTACGCCGTAGGCCGCGTAGCACCGTTTTGGTAAAAGCAAAGAAATATAATTGGTTGAAATAATTACGTTATGCATACAGACCGCACCTGTTTTCTTATGATTTGAATAGCTCTAAGTTTGACAGATTTGACTTATAAGTTATTCTGTACTAATTATAACGTAAGTTTTTTACAAGTTTTCCTTGCATATAACCTCTTTACTTCTTTCAGTGTAATCTATGTGTATTACTAATACCTAACATAAACATTTATTATTATAACATCCACATTATTAACTTAATTATTAATTTAAGAACTTATTTGTTAAGATACATTTTAAACATAAGTTACTATATACGAAATTACTAAGATAATTGAAGTATACGCTTTGCTTTACTAATAACCACATCTTATACAAATTACAATATAAGTAAAATTAGATTTTTACATTTTTTTTATTTACTCGTATTATTAAGCATTATTATAATCACTTTAAATTAATTTAGATTATTTTCGCCATCGGATTAATGATATTTGTAAAATAAAGTAAAAAAAATCCTTTTATACATTTCTGTTTAATAAAAAGCTATATTCAGAAATACAAATATGTTGTAAATAATTTTTAATTTTTTTATAACTTACATTTAATATTTTTATATTAATAAATAGAAATAAATATTATTATTAAAGAATGTATTCTATAAATAGTAATCTATAAATTGCGTTTATATTTACATATCTTTGGAACGCGTTGCACGGCACACTGACTAGATTCCACTCTACAGAATTTCTTTATGAAGAAATACTATACCCATACTAAATACTATATTCACACTTAAAGATTATTCGTTTTCTAATACTAAATCTTATCTAGGCATTAAATGCCATACTTAAAGTAAAAAAAGCAAGAGCCACAGCAATCGATAAGAGCAATTCTGCCATAAATGTAATTTTCTAATTAAAAAAATTAAACGTCTATTTCAAAAGAGATTAATCAAGTTATCAATATGTTTATTCCATTATTTTTTAATAAACTTTAATAGTATCAAACTACGAGATCAATTTAGTATTTAATATTATGTTTGTAAAGACTAGATTTTTTTTTGAATTTAACATTTGAAAACTTAATGACTAAAAAAGTTTCCAAATAGAAGAAAATCCAAAATAATTATTCACTACATAAAATATAAAATGACTATAAAAGGACTAGAGTTGGTTTTTTTAAACTAGTGACTGAATTCATTAAGAATATTGTAAAAGACTAGAAATAAGTGACAAACTCGAAAATGACTATAAAAGGACTAGAAATAAATATTTTTGACTAGTGACAAATAAAAATGACTATAAAAATTATCGTCCCCATTGTCTGGCTAAGCCTAACTAAGTAAGGGATGACTAGGCCATAGTCAACCACGCTGGCTAGTTGACTAAAAATGACTAGAAATAAATAAATTTTAACTAGTGTGTAAAATACTAGAAAATGACCAGAAATAATTATTTAAAACTAGTGACTAGATTCTAAAAACAATTGAGACCATTGGTTAGTCTTTAGACGACTATATAAAATTTGAAATAAAAAAAAATTATACAGTAATAACTGTGTAACGATTCAGAGTATAAATAAATTTCTTTTTTAATATAGATTGAATTTTTGTTTAGGTGCTACTTAAAATGACTAGAAATTGACTAGACTAGACTAGTGATCTTCATGAGATATAAAATTAAATATTTTGTGTTTTTATTGAAATTACAAAAACAAAATCTTAAGGAATAAAAAATGGAATGTTATTAAGTTGTAAAAGAGGTTAACTTTAGTAGTTAAGTTATTTTTAGCTATCGTCCTAGTTAGAAAGGAAGTCGATGCGTCAATTCCGATGTACGCTAACTAAATGCTGAAAAAATTATGAGATGGTCGCAAGTTGAACGGTGGTGCATCTAAAAATATGCCCAAGAAATGGATCGATTGCGGTGGCTCTTTGTAACTCGATAGAAACGATTTACTACTGGTATTATACATTTAGAATAAAAGAAAAAACAGTCGAAAAATTTAAAAAAGAGTCAATATATGACAGCTACACAGTGTATTTCATTTTAAGCAGTTTTATGAAGTTCAGGAAAAAATTGTATTGATAGTTAAAATAATGTGATATTCGGTAAACTATAGTTTTTATTGAAGGGATGATGAAAATACCCCAAGTGGATGGGCAAATATAATTCAGAAGAAAATGTAAGAAAATAGAAAGTATTTCGTTGTCAAAATATTAACAATTCGGTTTTTTTAAGTTGCTGGCAATTTATACAATGATTTCAATAGGTTATAATAGCTAAACATCTAAAAGTACTAACTATCCGAAGCAAGGTTAAATACTATGTAATAAAATAAACACGAAAAACGTTTGACATATTTCGTATTAGAATAAATTTGGAATGTTGCTGTAGGAGCTACATATTTACAATTATCGAAAACTAAATTACTATTTAAATAATTATACAGAGTCTCTAATAATCTACACAGATTTAAAATATATACAGATAATAGTGAAGCGACCAGACTTGCAGGAAAGTTCACGTTTTAAGAAGGTACTTACTCTCCGAGAAATTTTAAAAACTTTATCTCCTATACTATTCCTAAATATAAATGAAATATCATTAAAACCGGCCCTTTAGTTAAATAGTTTGATTGCTATTGTTTTAGATAGAATTTAAGTGTTAATTTAAATGTACTATAAAACTAAGAGAAGTACATACGGTCGTGTCCATAGGGATGTGAATATGGGTAGAGAGTATTGGGCACGGGGTAGGGGAAGCGCGGCACGGGCCGCAGCACGCGTCGTCAGCCGTCCTCTCCCCCGCCTTCGTCTTCCGAGCCCGTGACGTCAAGGCTTCTGGAATCTTCCGAGGAGCAAGGAGACGCGCACCGAGCCTGCACATCTTCCCAGGACACTTCCGTCTGCGGCGCAGGGATCTTGTTCCAGAACGTGTTATAATTGTTGTCACGGCATTCCTAGTACAAAATATTCTGGATATAATAATGTTTTCGCCGTAAAACTAACCTAAAAGTCTTTAAGATTTAATTTCAAGAATCAAACACTTAAACTTAAAAACAATTGAATTGGTATACCTATCATTATTTTAACTTATAGTTAGTACATTTTAACACTTAAAAAAATAAGAATTTTATACTAGGGTAACCCCACTCAAATATCGTCATGTGAGTCACTTACCGGCTGATATGTCGGATAATCCACATGGACCTGTCGGAATGCGGAGGGTTCTTTCTCCACTTCATCAGGCTGTTCGTGTGCTAGCAGATGTTTGCGTAGATACGCCTGTCTTCGGAACATTTTGCCGCAGCGGTGGCACGGGAAGCGGCCGTCGGTGGCAGGCTCGCGGCGCTTGGTGGCGCCCGCCACACGAGGCTTATGCCAACGACGGTGGGATGCCAGGTTTGCAGGACAATTGAATACCTAGACATGAGAATAGAGTATAAAACATTTTGCGACGTCGTTTTTTTTACAAATAAATTACAAGTGTTGTATAAAAGATTATATATGGTAATTCGTTGATTGGTCGTGTAATATCGTAGCGTATTTCGGTATAGTACTGAATTCTGTAGGATTAATTAAAAAAATGTCCATTTAAAAAGCTATATTCTAGTACTGGGGCTTAACTGAGATGGTGCGCTAGTAAATATGTTATCACATTTGCCCCATTATAAGTGAGATGACCAGTTAAGTATATTTAGTCACGCATTATCGTACATATCAATTAAGGTGTAAAAACATTTCGCTATAAACGTTTCCCATGGAAAAGCGCCAAGTGTTCACACACCCTCCCTATTGCGTTCCCACACGAATATGCTTTGAATTACTGCACCTTTTATTTAGAGTATTGGAGATGAGTTGTTAAATAACCGATAATAATTTGTTTTGTATCTAATAATTTGAAGGGTTAGTTATTGTTATTTGGGATGATAGTAGATATTAATCAGTACTGTAGTTAAATGAATTTGTTATTCATTAATTATTCTTTTATGTTTAAGAGCAGACTAGCCTTCGTCCGAGACTCCGTCGGCGCGGAATAAAAAAAAAGTGAACAGCCTATGTGTTTTTCCAGGCTATCTTTTACTTCTATGCCAAATTTCATTGAAGTCCGTTTAGCCGTTTAGGCTACAAACATCCATCCATCTAAACTTTCGCATTTATAATATTAGTATGAATATGATAGTATGATGTACATTGTCATTTAAGTTAATCAGAAGTTGGTATCTCCTAGTTTTAGACCTGACAGGACTCCTTAGGTTTGGAAAAATAAAACATTTTTTTTATAATAACCTTATCACACTCCGGACAACGGTATTCAATATGTACGATCCTGGAGCACCTGTGCTGCGCCAGAGCAAACGCATCGCCGTACAGTCGCCGGCAGAGACGACAGATGTAGCGGCCGAGCCGGTTCTCTATGCTTGCTATGAGGGCCTTCGCTTCGTCTGTCACTTCCACTACGTTAAACGCCGGATCTATGTCACCCTGTTACAATAACTTTGGATGAGTATACTTATATTTCCCATATATGTAGATCGGATAATAAAAGATTTTTCGATGTTGTAAAAGATCTCTATAATTTTAATAATTACTTTGATATAAGTAGTTATAAAATTAATACAAAATTCGTGACTTGTCAGCCAGTAGCTAAACTTGCTAGGTTTATTTGCGATCGTATCACGTGAGAACAAATTGCATGTTTTAGAAGGTGTTTTGATATAATTTAATGGAGCATTATCGTTCATCTAGGATAAAGAAGTAAGAGGTGGTTTGTACTAAGAATATATGATTTATGGTTCATTTAATGTCCTCAACGCCACCCCTCGGAGCGTTGCGAGTCCACTCGAAGCCTGTTATTAACGTAAACATAACACAATACGCGATTTCATAGCGTTTAATTGCCGAAGCGATAAGGAAAGTCGCCGGTCCCGCTAATGCTACTGCCACAACGGCTAATTAGCAGTCCCTTTGCAATTTCGCCATTTATATTTCATATTAATAGCAGATGAATGCTTTGTTTATTGTTTGTGTAAATTTTATAGAAGATGGCAAATCAAAAAGATATTCATAAAATTTTATGTGATCATAAAACAATCAAAAAGTATTAAAGAGGGAGGTTATTCCATGGATATCTAAATTTTTTAAACCAAAACTTTGCCAATATACCTTTCTATTTTCTGTGAGAAATTTTCACTTATGAATATATTTTTAGTGCTCAAATTTACCTTTCGAACAACTAGTGTTTCATCTTCTGCCAAGTCTCGTATGATGGTGCCAGACACGGGCGATGTTTTATCCTCATCGAACATTAACCTTCTAACTGCTTTGCTCTTTTTCATCGGTTGCGTAGGTTTTAGTGATTTCTTTGGCCGCTCTTCGACGTCTCTTATTTCAACAATATCCGGCGAACTCCTGCCGCTTTTTGGCGAAGCTTGTTCTGCTGGCAGACATGTGCGTAATTCATCGAAAAATTGTTTGGTGAATTTTAGTTTCTTTGCCTCAGGACTATCGCTGTCGTTAGAATTGTCATCGTCGCATTTGCGTTTTAGGTTCTTATCAACTTCATCTTTTGAGTTGCTCTCTTCAAAGTGTCTAAATATTTTCGGAGAGTGCGTGTTGTTTTGTACATCTGGAGATTTTCGCTTCTGTGACGGCGGAGGAGTGCAAGGTGGGGTAATTGGAGAAGTTGATTTTAGAGATAGATCGAGTGGGACTAATGGTTCGTTGTAATACGCCAAATATTGTTGAAGAATGCTCGGATGTTGCTGCGGCAGGAGTTCGTGAAGATAGTTGCTGGAGATGCGGACAGGCGGCGCGGCATATTGGTGGTAGAAACGAGACGTCGACAACCGATGAAAATGTGGTAGTGCCGCTTCCATGTTTAAAACACTCCTCTTACTTCAATGAAAATAAACAATTTCATTTTGCTACTAAATGTGATTGTATGTCTGTAACAAAAGAAATACACAATAAATAAATTAAAATCGTAGAAAACAGGAAATAAAGCGAACAGAGAAATAACATTGTGGAAACTGTCGTCCCTTCGCTAGTGTTAAAGTGGCCCATTTCGTTGATTGCAACGCGTTCGAAGTAAAAATGTTTTGAAGTAAATTGCTCTTTTAAGGACCTTTTGTTATCGACCAAAAACTAAAAGAAAATAACCAGGGAAAGAGATTCATTGTTTTAAAATATTATGATATTGTTTTTAACTCACAAACACATTCTAATCATTTCCTATATTTTGATATAGTTGTAACAATAAGACATCGATTTGACCAACTGAATTAATTCAATTACGGGCTAACGCAACAGACGAAATGTAGGTGAAGCCACCAATGACATCTAGTAACGTGACAGGATAATCTGTGGAGAGGGACAAATAGTTGTGCGTCGGTTGGAACGGCGTTACCTAATTACATGCGAGATCCCGGCTCCCACGCTCTCCCCTGTCGGCCGCCGCGGGGACAAATGAAATGCCTCGCCCTCTCACCCTTAATACTTCTTTGGTTACGAGCAAACATTGAAAATGATACCATACGTAAAAGCTTTATTGTAATCAGGTAAAGAATTGAAAGCTTACTTTAGTTGATATAGCCTTTATAGATAGTATGTTGCGATATAAAAATCAAAGACAACATTTAAGTAGAGCTTAAGTTATAAAAACTTAAGTAAATAAAGGTATATCGCTGATATAACAGATGTTCAAAATGTCTAAACAAGTTTCGGAATTGCAACTGTTAAACGAGGCGTAGGTTGGCTTTTGTAATTGCTACGAGTACGCATTGTATGCAAATTTGCAAGCTTTCCCTAAAATACTTCCTACCGCATACATTACATACGCACAAATTTCATCGTATTTTTTCATAATCCTAATGGATTAATAAACAGAGTAAGTTAAAAGGGTGGGGATATAATTTTACGAATAGGTACTCCTCAAAAGTCTTGACTTTTAACACATTCGCATCACACTAAAAATGATCTAACCGAATAAGGACACTTAAGATTGGAAGAATAGAATAGAAAATATATGACGGTTAGCTGCGAGGCAATCGCTGATCCGTTAAAAAAATGATTTTCGGACCACCAATATTAAATTAACTAAGCTAAGCAAAGTAGATTTTTTGAACTATTAAATAACGAGCTGTTGCCCGCGACTTCGTCTGCGTGGTATTAGAAAACATACAAACTATATAAATTACAAAAAGCTACGTATACCTCGGGAAGCGGACAATTCTCGGGGATGAAGCTTATCCCATGTGTACACCAGACTTTGTTTTATATCTGTGCCAAATTTCAATAAGATATGTGGAACCGTTGCAGAATGTTCAAGTAAACATTAAAAAACTAAATTAATGAATCCCACGGGAACCGTAACTATTCCAGGGATAAAAAGTAGCCTATGTGTTCTTCCAGACTATGCTCAAAACCTGTGCCAAATTTTATGGAGAACCGTTCAGCCGTTTAGGCTATAAACGCTAACAAACATCCATCCATCCATCCATCCATCCATCTAAACTTTCGCATTTATAATATTAGTAAGACTAGTAGAAGTGGGTTCTATAATAAATTAAATTGTTTAAATAAAATGACTTTATTATAAAGGAGTTGGTTTCGGTTGAATGATTAATATTTAATCAGTACTCACAGCGTTATATTTGAGGCGGCTCACACCTTTAATTATCGTAACTGAAAGTTACATTAACGCCTCCGATCACACCTTATAATTTCCAAGCGAAGGAATATTTGATTAAGCTATTATGCCTTTAAATTATACATCATTTAAATTTATCTATGTGTTCTTATTTTAAATTATACATTACTTAAAATATTATAAGACTTGTTTATTACATTTTTTTATATAAAATAGCAATATTAAACTAATGTTTCCTTCAGTTTCAGCAGCGTAGAGGAAACATTGAAGTAGAGTAGGGACTTCTATATAAATCATAACAAAATCCTCATGAGTTTAACCGGAACCGTGTTAATACTAAAACTGAAGCAATCGACACCGTACCGAAGTAAGTTTGAGCATACGAAGATGTGTTCGGCTTCAGTGAACTTTAACTTTGCGTATCTAACGAAGAACCACAACAACACGGAATCTGATATTGTTCTACAAACTTACAATTAATATTAGGCATTAAACTACGTCGGTGTTTATTAAAAATAAATATTATAGGCCTGTCCCACTACTGACTGATAGAAGCTCAGATAGCTTAAAAATGACGTCATTGTCAGATAAGGTAACAAACTCCGATATTTCCATCACGTATTTTACACGTTGGATTGTTATCAGACAATTTACAATTAGGTGGGATAGGCCCTTAAGGTAGTTTTTCCCAAGTAGGGACAGCGACGTGCAGACCGTAAATGTTAAGCCAAAACATAAAGTTTTATGAAAATCTTGTGCGCCAACCCTACGTAAGTGGGATAAGGCCAGGAAGATGATCATCAAACTATTTCGACATATAATTATTTCCGTATCTATCTTAAAAATTAACATCGCGTTTGAGAGTGTAAGTTTTTTTAACGTTGATATGAGATAAATATTGAATAGTTAGTTACAACGATTTCTGAAATATTCTATGGTGCTAGACTGTAATAACAGTAAGCATGATTGGGTTTGATGCGATCATTTTTTGTGTAGTTTCTTACTGGATCAATCATGATTTTACGTTTTAAAACAGTTTAAATAGCGACGACTTTGTTACAAGATTTGTTGAGTGATCTTTGAATATAAAGATTATCAATCAGTTGCAAAACAGTTATCAGATATTTTAAATATACTCACAATATTATAGATAAATATTTTCTTGACAGTTTTTAATTGTACATTGTATTTGACTTACTTTTATTTAGTATTAAAAGTAATAAAGTAGCATATTTATATAAATTTGTCTTAAATATTACTTGCGTAGTAAGTGAGGGTGTTTTAATTTTTTTAAAGAGGGTCAAAAAAAATATTATAATTGAGTTGGCGCGATAAAGTTTGCGAGCGTATTTTCGCACAGGTGAAAGCCCGAGGGTGTTTCTATGGCGAGAAAATTTAAAAAGTGACTCATACCTTCGCCTGGTCCACTGCTGACTCAACCGACGACACCCCTGATGCCACTATACTCAACTTGATATTAAAAAAAAAAACTTTTTTAAGATTTTTAAAGTGGATTAAAAATATTCGAATTGTATTTGAAAAGTTTTCGTATCGTGTCGGGTGGTGTTTAGGGGTGCGCGGTGTCCGCTCTCCGGCGCGGTCGGCACAGGACTGACTGGTTCTCTGCACCCTGCACACCCCGACGCGTGCGATCCCAACCCTCGCACAGGGTGCTCTCTTTTGTTTGGATTATTAATATTATTACTAACACAATAGAGGAATTTCAATGCACGTTGTCGCTAAATACTTTACCCAATTTATTTTTTGCTTATAGTGTAAACTTGGACATAACCCATTTTCATTTTTCATTATTACCCAAAATGTGTATTTATTTATTCTGTATTTCTTAGGAAAGTATTCCTGCTATTTAAACACGAATAAACATTTGTGGAATATCACAACCACATAGAAAGTATATTTCTGTGAAGTGGAAACAATTCCGCGTTTACATGATTATGTGCCGAAACCCAATTCCTCAATTTACAAAAATATTTGAATAAACATACTGTAGAATGCGTTGAACCGTAGTGTATCTATTCAAGATCCTACAGCGGTGCGCTATGCGGCCCCTATACGCGAGCTACAAGTGCACACCAAGTTTTTTTCAAGCTATCAACATCTATGGGTTAAAAAACACTCCTAAACGACGACAACTTCTGATAACGCCCGCATCAGAACACAACTTCGCACCTTGTAGGCATTTACGTGCTCGTAATATATTTACCGTCCTTTTTTACTGTCTACCGTCAGACAGAGAAAAGAGATGTTATAATTATGTGATTACATTCCTCTTGAACTTGACTAAATTCAAGGTGGAATTTTATCTTTAAGGTGTTTCATTTAAGACATATCCTTGTAATCATTACAGTAAAAAAACGTTTTATTTAACCATTTAAAGTTACGTTTGCTTTTGGAAAATTACTAATAAAAAAAGCAATAAAACCCAGAACAAAGAAAACATGATGTTAAGTAAGGGTAGTCATAATGAAATATTAAATACAAATCTATACATAAATGGAAAACAAACTTTATACGGAGAGGAAATCTGTGTTGGGCGGAGTTTCCCGCACGCCCTAGCGCCGCCCAGCGCGCTCCGCCCACCTGAACAAAGCGAGATAATAATTGAATGTAATTGAATCATCTCGTTGTATTGAATTAAAGCGAGGCCTCGCTGTAATCAGTGCGATTGTTGGAATACGATGAATGCAGGCACGCAGACGAATGCAGGCTTCCCGCTTCACTTTGATGTCGCCGCGTCGGTGCATACAGTCGAGTGAAAATTGAGTGAAACTAAAATTGAATGGGTAATAAAGTTTTGTTCGCTTGTAAGCTTAAAAGTTGTATAACAATTATTTTAATTTAAACTAAAATTCTAACGATCGTGGTATTAGTAATGTAAATTTAATGTTTAGTAATAATATATACAAAGTGTCCCTCTAACAAACAACTGTAATAAAATGGTTGAATACTTCAGTGCAAGGATTTATAAGTTTTGCAGTGGCCAACTTTTTACTATTTTATATTGATAAAAATAGTTATTACTTAAAAATTGCGTTGATAGGTAAATCAAAATTGTATGCATATTGTGATTTAACTTTCGTAAAAGACAACAAAAGTTGTATGACATATGTACGTAGATATGTGCTTGAAGTGTCAATTGCGTAGCGTCCGGCTTGGTGGCGTCTATCGGCCGGTGTCAACTCACGCGCACCGGAACTGAGAAGCCCCACTCGCGCACGCGCCGGAAACTTGCTCGCGCGCATCCTACTCACCGGTGAACCTCACCACTGCACCCTCCCCGCGACACCTCGCGACTCCACACTGCTCCGTCCAACTCCGGTGTCAACAAGTAATGAAATAAGTGCAGTGTCGATTACACTCGATCACTGTTGCATACCTCCGTATACATATTGATGTAATTAAAACTGCTTGGAAACGATCACAGCTGTTGTGTGAGCCATAGATTGTTTAATATGTTATACTGAATAGATTAGTTAGTTATATTGTTTTTTTAGAAAGGGCAAAGGAGCAGCTGATTGCCTAATATTAATTTATTCGTCTCTAGAGGTAACGCAGAAGCATTGCCGACATTGACCATTACTTGACCATAGTCCTATCTACTTAATGTGATCGAAGAATGATATATTTAGTATGAAACAAAATGTTAAATGATCAACCAGTTTTGTCTGTTAGCTACAAATTATAACGACCATAAGTACGTATTGCAAATAAAGAGTAAAAATTCAAAGGACTGCTGCAGTTCGGGAGAGGAAAATCGTGCTTTCATCTTAGTAATGATACATAAATTACATTACCACACTGTTAACCACGAGTTTTTGGTACTATTACCCATCAATAGGTGTTACAAATTATTGTGGGAAGAGTTCAAGTAACGTTCCAGTCGACGTCAGTAACGTGTGATCGACGCGCCTACAACCACACCGGTGTTGTTCACACGACTATTAGACTCTGTTTCTCTGTTATTATTATGTAATAACTAATGAATTATAATTTATAGTTTAACAGTTTATCTGTCTATATTACTATCTAAAATAGCATATTTAGATAACTATTTAGAAACAATAAACTATATGCTTTGTAGCTAAAAAATCTGTAATCTTTTGATGCAAAACTTTAAGATTGATACTTGGAATGGAATATATGTAAACACTTAGGTTATTAAAATTTTTTAATTTATGCTTAGTCTTTAAAGACTTTATTCCTAAACTAGTTTTCACTCGCGACTTCATCTGCGTGAAAATGAAAATAACAAAAGTTAATAGCCTATGTGTTTTTCCAGAATATCCTCTACATCTATGCCAAATTTCATAGAAATCCGTCCAGCCGTTTAGGTTACAAGCGCTAACAAACATCCATCCATGCATCCATTTAAGCTTTCGCATTTATAATATTAACGTGAAGTATATATACAAAGTCCCTTAAAACAATGTGATGCGGTCAGGCACGTGGGAAACGCTCGGAAGGATGTACGTTGTTGACACTTTCGAGAGCTCTGTACACAGCGCACACCTTTAGTGTAATTGTTTCCGCTTTATATCATTGTCCCTTACCCTAAAGTTTGTTATAAGCCTATTTTATAGTCGTTATACTCATATTGGTCAGGTCATGTTCCCAGCCACTTGAGAGGTACGGTTGAAGATGACTGGGCATAATGTACGTAGACCTTTAAAATATTCGTCCTAGGATTTACGAGAGAAAAGCGTGATGTTTCAATAACCATAATTTATGAAACAATCCGTGCTGGAAATAATTCACTGTTTAACCTAAAATGTAATTTAAACAATGTATAACGTTTTTAACTTTTGTGTAACAAGTCCTTAATATCCTAAACAATTGACGAAAGTATGAACCAACGTTTGAATATCTCACAACTTTTGATAAACATAAAACAATGACAATTAATGATAACGTATCTCAACATGCAGCCTAGGAACTGGCTGTGAGAATTAACCCTTGTTGTTTTCATATACGTAATTTTACTGATAACATAATTGTCACAAACCATTGTAATTGTTTACATTTAGGCTGTAATCAGAGGACACATGAACTATGCTCAGATTTTAAATTAAAAAAAAATTTTTTTTTCGTGCTTTCTGACTGATGTTATAAAGGCAATTCAATTTATCGGACATCCATTTTACCGTTATTTTATCGGTATCGATTGGACTTTTGTGTAAATCTGTGAGGGTGAGCGCGCGCGCGCTCACCGACCAATCAGAGAGCAGCATATGACAGATGCGCGCGCAGAGCTTTTGTATTCCCCGGCATTGTTACAAGTTAGGGTGGAAAGTATGAGAACACGCATGCGTATAACATTACTTATCTGTGCCGATTTCGTAAAAAAATATGAATTATTTACGCTACATATTATATTACAAAGGTAATGTGATATGAAATATCTCCATGAGCCGACGATATATGGTTATATAACGGGAACGCAATTAATTTTACTGTTGGAAAGTTTGTTAACGTAACTCTACATTTAAAAGCCATCGTTTCTGTAAACTTTCAAATTTAACCTGCAATTGTTGGGTTCAGCAAATTGCTTATCCTATTTATTTATTTAAATTAAAAATGTTTTTAGGTATAAGAGTAGTTTTTTTAGAATACAAGGCGTACATTGTATGTGGTCCCTTCATACGTTTTAAAATAGCATCAAGCATTAAATCTACAAAAAAGTGTATTAGTAGTTACCATAGCAACGCACCCTCGGCCCGTGCCATCCCGCAGGTGTGCCTGGATTTCATCGTCTGATTGCTACCGATGTGAGCCGACAGACGACCCACAAAAACAACCATATCCAAAATGGGTACTTCAAAGGATTCCTATCTAAGTATTAAAAGCTATGTTATTTTTAACGATTTTATATGTATTGGCTGACTCGCTATTAATCTGAAAATTCTTTCTTTTCGTCAAATATTTAAACTAATATCTGAGGGTCGTGTCTCACTCTATCTTATTCACTATTATAGATTGCATTTCCTGATAATATTTACATTGATAACATTTTGTAAATAAAATGCTTAGTGCAAATATGTCTATCGTGTGAAATCATCGTTCAACTAAATAAAAATATATAGGTGGGTCGCAGAGTATTGTAAATGCGCACGCACCTGAAAGCAGCCGCCATGACAGTTTAGAATCGTATTCAGTGGCAGAACGCCGCACGCGCATGCCACGCGCCGCGCGCACCCCGTAATGCACCTTGGTACCGACTGCAAAAATATAATTTCTATTGTATAATTTGGCATGATGATAATGAAATACGTAGAATAAAATAAGAAAAAATAGATTAAATTGTGTATTCCTCATATACCTATATATTTTTAAACTAATTTATTAATTGGGTCTCGCCTTAACATTAGCTATGAGATTTTATTAACGTCGATTCTTTATGAATCTATAATTTCTAAAAGATTCATGATTTATATATAAACATACTCAACGACTGTTGTTAGTGAATTATAAACGAATGATTATAAAACAGTTAAAAATGTATTTGCTGACGTTACCTCATGTCGTATTTTGTACAATGCGTTGGATTATTTTATTGTGTTTTCGGCACACGGCCTT